GAGCGCGACGCTTGGGCTCGATGAGCCCACATCCCTCAATGCCGCGGACACACGATACGACATGGCACCGCGTGCGGAAGTCGAAGTTGTGCTCTGCCCGTGAGCGGATAAAAATAAATAAAGTCAGCTTTGAATTTAAACCGAAGAGTTAATTAGCCTTGGGTTAAGGCTATAACTACTCTTGAAGTAAGCGGATTGCGATCCGCTAAACTCGTTCTTGTTCTGAGTATAGAACGAGAGGTCGGTGACCTAACTTACGCTCCCTCAAATTGCAAAGCTACGGCAGCCGGCTGCAGTGTTTATATCTTTATTGGCTTTCTGTTTTGGAAATTGGGTAAATTACAAATATGATCCTTTTAAAATTGTGTGTCCACTCCAAGTTCACCGTCCAGAGCAAAAAATCTCCATGTCATGCACAAACGCCATCGCTGTAACAAGAATATTTACACGACGCGATTTAGCCTGCTACTGCTAGAGGATGGTGAGGTATTCCTCGATGTACGTAACTTTTTGCTTTGAGAAGCAGTCGCAATGGTACAAATGTATGAAAAGTAACGATATACTTGTACTACCAACAGGACCACAGTGCATGTCGATACCTAGAGCCACATACTTTCACACACCGCAAAGTGTTTGGACGAATCAAGGTTTGCACTCGTGGATTGTTCTTCGTGCCGCTCGATCTTCAATTGCCAATACTGCGCTTTCCGTATCGGTGCATGTCAGCTGAACCCGTGGCTGAGTGTTTCTTACAAGCTCCATTAATCTTTGAAAGGATTGATGAGTCAAACGATAGGTCACTTGTATACGTAACATTTCAGACCAAACAGGTGATTGAAATGCGAGAGCGAGGTACCGATCATCCATATAGATATAGAGATACGACGGAAGGATTGGACAGTACTAGCTCCAGCGATTCTCTAAGCAATAGTAGCAGTAGCAGTCTAAATGGAGATCGACCGGCCAAGTACATCTTTACATTGCAGCATGTAGCGTACGAGGCGTTTCTAGCAAGTATCCACGTCTTGTTTGAAGTTTCGAATTTACCACGACAAATGCTTATCCATTCAGAGGAAGCGACTTTACTTGCGCCGATCTTAGCTCCGAGAATGACAGACAAATTTGATTCAAGCCTAATTATCGATTATCGAGAGAAATTGCTGATGACAAACGGTTGTGTAGTGGATCGAATTGAGCCGCTTCTTAAATTTCCTGGCTGTTTGATGTTGACAAACCTGCGGTTGTACTTTCAACCAGCACAGCTAAATAATATCTTCGATCCGGTATCGAAGTGGGATTACACAAGTATTGATCAAGTTTATAAACGTCGCTATCTGCTACAGCAGATTGGTCTGGAAATTTATTTGCGAAATAAAGACAGCATTTTTTTTTCCTTTCAATCAGCAAAAGAACGGGATAACTTTTACGCTCTCATAATAAGCCAACCAGAGCTCCAACGTTGCCGTCGAAAAGATCTGCAGAGTATGATGCAAAAATGGCAAAATCGAGAGCTCTCAAATTTTGAATATCTGCAATTTTTAAACAATGCGTCTGGCCGAACGTGTAACGATTTGACGCAATATCCGGTTTTTCCCTGGATACTACGGGACTATACAAGCTCTAATCTAGATCTCAACGATTCGGATGCTTATCGAGACCTTTCCAAACCCATTGGAGCGCTTAATGAAGAGCGACTGAAGTATTTAAAAGCAAGATACGATATGATGCCTTATGGTGAAAAAGCTGAAGGAATGCCGCCACCTTTTTTATATGGAACTCATTATTCTACTCCTGGCTACGTGCTCTACTTCTTGGTCCGTAAAGTGCCAGAGTACATGCTATGCTTGCAAGGTGGGAAGTTTGATGCACCAGATCGTCTATTTCGTAGTATTAAAAGTACTTGGGATGGTTGTTTGTCCAATCATACCGATGTGAAGGAACTGATTCCTGAATTTTTTGACACTTCACTTCAAGCAGACGAATGGCTGCAAAATATTAAGCATCTTGATCTGGGATTGACGCAGAGTTTTGATCGCGTGGATGACGTGGAACTTCCGCCATGGGCACATGGAAGTCCGAGAGAGTTTGTCAGATTAAACCGCGCTGCACTTGAAAGTGACTACGTGTCGGATCATTTGCACTGTTGGATTGACTTAATCTTTGGCTATAAGCAACAAGGTGATGAAGCTCTCAAGGCCAATAATTGTACGTGCAGTTTGCCTTTTTGTTATATGCCATTATAATTGGCCTGCAACGAAATCGCCTGACTGATGTTGCTGCTTTTGTAGTATTTTACTATTTATCGTATGAGGGTTCAGTCGATCTAGAGGCGATCGACGATCCTGTGCAGAAACGCTCACTCGAGTCACAGATCCAGGAGTTTGGCCAAACGCCAAAGCAACTCTTTTCTTCACCTCATCCATCACGAAATGAAGGTAAAGGAAGAGTGGAAGTTGCTACCCTTGACTTGTTGCTATCTCCCAGGATATTAGTACCTCAAGTTCACCGAATATTGAATTCTGTCGACAATATTGTGAATTTTCGTCCTGCTCATCAAAAGGTGATGACAGCAAGTGTATTTGAAGAATACACAGACTCAGAAGATGAAATGGAGAATGTAATTTCGTGTCATGATAAAAGAAATTGTTGTTGGTATAGCCTCAATTGTTTTCAAAGTGTGTGTAGCCGTCTTCCAACCGTTTTCAATAGACTATCTACTCAATTGTGGGGAAACCACCTTACATCAGGCAAGCCGTTAAAGAATTGGCGATGGAAATTTCGACTTCGATCTAAGTATTCTTTAGCTACAACATGGAGTTGGAAGCAAACATCGTCGTGTCGATTGCACAGAGGAGAAGTAACCAGTATCATTCTCACCAAAGACAACTCGAGTTTTTTTACAACGAGCAAGGATAAATCACTAAAGCTTGTCTCGACTCAGAATACGGCCGTTATTCGAAATGTGTCAGGCGAATATGCTTTGTCCTGTTGTGATCTTTCTCCAGATGAGAGTATCTTATTTGTCGGATCCTGGGACAATAGCGTATACATGCATTCGGTATCGAGTGGAGTAGTACTGGACAAGGTGTTGGCGCACTCGGATGGCATTTCAGCCATTTGTGTTCTACAAGACCGTTTTTTCACTAGCTCCTGGGACTCAAGTATCAAACTCTGGCGCTACACATCACAATTTATCGTCACAACGCCGATTCGAACCTTTTTCGATTGTGAAGAGTCCGTACTGTGTTTGGATGTCAGTCGTGACGGTCGTTTTGGTGCAGCAGGCACTCGAAATGGATCTGTTTTTCTATTTGATCTTTACGCAGTAATACTTCACCATCAAGTTCAAGCAAGCTCTTCATTTGGAGGTGGCATCTCGTCTATTACCTTCGCTCAAGACAACAAATCGTACGTCTGTGTGACTGTGCAGAACCAATTATTGCAGTATAATCTTCGTGGTGAATTGCTCTGGAGCATGGACATTCAAACAACAGGTCAAGTGCGAAGTTTCGACAGTGATGGCACTTATGCAGTGGGAGGCACTACGTCTGGCAAGATTCTGTTTTGGAAGATGCATGAACATGCAGGCACTGAAGTCGTTTGCGAGATTCCACAAGCTCATGATGCTTGTATCACCTCTTTGACTGTCAGTACTTCAGGTTCAGTGCTTGTGTCTGGCGCTGTTGACGGGTCGATTAATGTCTGGAACCTGTTGAAAAAGGCACCTTTATCTCAAACAAAAGCTTGCAATCTTTCAAATCGTAAAGTGATGTTTGATTATGGCTCCATTCAAACAAGTAGCTCCATTCTTCCGTCTTTCCAGACGAAGAAAACATCAAGTTACACGAACTTGTACATTTCCAACTATACATCTCAATTCGCGGAAGCCGAGTACTATCTAGAATATTAACTTTTCTTCTTGTAAAATATGTATATCACACATTGTATTATAATTTTTATATTAAGCTCAAATATCATTTAACTTTTTAATCCATTGGATATGGAAGAATCGCTATACGATGAATTTGGTAACTACATTGGTCCGGAGCTACATAGTAGCGAGGATGAGTCATCATCTACCTCAGACAGTAATCCAGCAAGTGATAACGAGAGTGAAGAAGCAGTTAATGAAGCAGAACATCAAGTGAATGCTCTTGCGCTTCACAATGAAGAAGACAACGCGATCGTGCTTCATGAGGACAAACAGTATTATCCCGATGCTAGCGAAGTCTATGGTGACGCTGAGATGCTTGTAATGGAGGAAGATGCACAAGAAATTGAAAAACCAATTATTGAGCCTGTAAAAACGAAAAACTTTTCCGTATTGGAGCAGAAAACCCCACGCACAACATATTCGACTGAATTTCTGACTAGTTTGATGAATCATCCTCAACTTATTCGACACGTGGCTATACTAGGAGATCTTCACCATGGCAAGACATTATTTACTGATCTTTTGGTGCAGCAGACACATGTAGATAAGTGGAATCCTGCACTCGAGAAACGATATACGGACACGAGGAAGGACGAGCAGGAACGTAAAGTGTCGATCAAGAGCACACCTGTGTCTCTTGTGCTGCCAACATCCAAGGGTAAACATTTCTTACTGAATGTTCTGGACTGTCCTGGTCACGTGAATTTCTCGGACGAATCGACGGCGGCGTTGCAAGTAGCAGACGGCGCGGTGCTTGTCGTTGATGCGATTGAAGGCGTCATGATGAATGTAAGGTGACTTGCTGAGAAATCAGATGATCTGATGAAGTGACTTAATTCTTTATCTATTTGGGCAGACGGAACGACTGGTTAAAGCAGCACTTAGAGCCAATGTAGCCATTGTGCTCGTACTAAATAAGGTGGACCGACTTATCATTGAACTCAAGTTACCACCTGCAGATGCATACTTCAAATTGCTGCATACAATCGAAGAGATTAATGCAGTCATTATAGCTAACACACCGGCCGATCAAGAGAAGCAGCGCGTGTCACCAGAGCTAGGTAATGTCTGCTTTGCTTCAGGACAACATGGATGGAGCTTTACGCTTGAATCCTTTGCACAAATTTACGCTGAAACGTACCCAAGTGTTCCTGCGTCAGAGTTGGCGGCAAGATTTTGGGGTGACAAGTACTTTAATCCGCAGACGCGAACTTTTACCAAGAAATCGGTGGGTTTCTGTTTTTTTGATGCGTATGTCTCAATCTCATCGTATTATGGCTTGATGTTGTAGCCCTATCCTGGTGCATTGCGATCTTTCGTTCAGTTTGTGCTCGAACCGCTGTACAAAATGTATTCCAAGGTGCTGGATGGTGACCCAAAAGAACTATCGGCTACACTGCGTGCTATGGGCTTGCGCTTGCGAAAAGAAGAGCTCAACTTGAATCCGCGTCCGTTGCTTAAGCTCGTACTAGGCAAATTTTTCGGCACTGTTACTGCGGGTTTTATGGATATGGTTGTCAAATACGTTCCGTCACCGCTTTTGACTGCCAAATCCAAACTGGAAAATCTTTATACTGGAAACCAGTCGTCGGAAATGGCCGTCGTCCGTGGCATTCAGTCGTGTGACCCCAAAGCACCGCTGATGGTGAACATTGTCAAGTTGTACTCATCGCCGGACGGTACTACATTTAGCGCATTCGGCCGTATCTATTCTGGTGAGGTATGCGAAACCAAAGATGTCAAGGTCTTAGGCGAAGCGTACAGTACCGATGATGATGAAGACATGTGTACCCGGACAATTGAAAGCGTCTGTATTGCACAGGGTCGCTACAAAATTCAGGTGAATCGTATTCCGGCTGGCAACTGGGTGTTGCTGGAAGGAGTCGATGCATCAATCACGAAAAGTGCCACTATTACAGATGCAGACGAACAAATATTGCAAGATGAAGAAGTAGGCATCTTTCGACCTATTCACATCGCTTTTAATATGACTGCTGTGATGAAGCTCGCAGTTGAGCCTTTAAATCCGGCAGAATTGCCCAAAATGCTGGAAGGTTTGCGAAAAGTCAGTAAGAGCTACCCACTTGTACGAACAAAGGTAGAAGAGAGCGGCGAACATGTGATCTTGTGTACAGGTGAACTCGCAGCTGACTGTATTCTGCACGATTTGCGACGAATGTATGCTGAGATTGAGATCAAAGTGGCTGATCCCGTCGTAGCCTTTTGTGAAACGGTAATCGAAACATCTGCTGTGCAGTGTTTTGCAGAGACACCTAATCAGAAGAATAAGATCTCAATGATTGCAGAACCTCTTGACGCAGGTTTAGCACAGGACATTGAGGCTGGTGCGATTAATTTGGACATGGATACGAAACAAGTCGCAAATTTTTTTCAAACTCGGTACAAATGGGACGTTCTCGCTGCTCGTTCTGTTTGGGCATTTGGTCCCGAAAGCAATGGACCAAACGTTTTGCTTGACGATACACTGGCTACAGAAGTGGACAAATCTTCGTTAAATATGATTAAGAACAGCATTGTCCAGGGATTCCAATGGAGCTGTCGTGAAGGTCCGTTGTGCGATGAACCGATTCGCAATACAAAATTTAAGATTCTAGACGCTACTATTGCGTCCGAGCCAATTCACCGTGGTGGTGGACAGGTGATTCCTACAGCACGTCGTGTAGCCTACTCGGCTTTTCTCACAGCGACTCCGCGAATGTTAGAGCCCATGTATGCACTTGAAATTCAGTGTCCCGCTGACACAGTGTCCTCATTATATCAGGTCTTAAGTCGTCGACGTGGTCATATTACGCACGATGCTCCAAAGGCTGGCTCTCCGTTGTACACAGTTCGTGGATTTGTGCCGGTAATCGAGTCATTTGGACTCGAGACAGACCTACGCGTTTTCACGCAAGGTCAAGCTTTTCTGTCGCAAGTATTCGACCATTGGGCGGTCGTGCCTGGTGATCCATTGGACACGAATGTCGTGCTACGTCCTCTCGAACCAGCTCCAGTAAATGATTTAGCTCGCGAATTTATGGTCAAGACTCGACGTCGCAAAGGATTAAGTGAAGACGTGAACGTTAGCAGGTATTTTGACGAGCCTATGCTGCGTGAGCTGGCAAGACACGAAGTGGAGCTGCAACATCTCATTTAAATTGGACAAGGTAGCGACACACTGTAGTATGCTATTATGTTCCCTGCAGTCTTTACACACGACAGTCGGCCTGTTTATTAATCATGCATCAAAGAACAATTTGAACAATCTAAAAAGTTCGCCCACTGAGTGCATCGTAGTACTCAACAATTATCATTTTCCAATCCGGTGCTACAGACACGTTCTTTACTGACAACCAAGAGTACAAGTCTTTGCATCTTTCCATTTTGCTCGGTACTACACAAGACCACACAAGACCACCCTCAAGTGTTCTACAATCCACTAGCATCGCCTGCATCAACGCTCTCTTCTTCTAAAAGACTTTCCACATGACAATTACCACGCTCAAGAATTTATTTTAAGTCCTCTCGGGCATACCAAAATAATTGGCCCAGCACCGATCGCAGCGACATGACGACTCCCTGATGGAATTGGTTGGGTCAGTTTAGGGTCTTTGCGTTTTTCTCCCTCATTCCTTTCCTCACGACACACGTCAACATCCTCATATCTTCAAACCACCTTCAATACCTGTTTCGGCCAAGTCTCTTTTGTAAACACTCACCATCTCCCAGCAACAATGCTTTCCTTTGTACATTCAGATGTTTTTTTAGCATCCTGCTAGAATTCAAACGAGTATCATGGCAAAGTACTGAGGCTGATAAGGATGATAACGCTTCAAATTGGAGAGGTACGTGGAACACATATTTAACATGGTAAAGCGGAGATATTCGTATTATTTTAAGAGACTTCATTATTTTGCAATTTCACTTTTAGTGATGTAAAAGCAAAAAAAACATGTTTCTTGAAATGATTTCTGTTTTACTCATGAATGTTGCGTACGAATCCATCTTTTGTGCGTTGTCAACGCATATTCGTAGCGTGGAAGCGTTTTTCTTAGTAAGATGCACGGTACCTTTGTTGCAAACTCTGCATGTCGATGAATGCAATCGGCGAAAAAATGTCGTAGGACGAGCAACTCGTAATCCTCCTCGGAAGTTTGCCAGTCGATTACGACCAAATGACCAAAATTATTGAGAACATGGGAAATATGTAATTGTTTCAAGCGAAGGAGATGATTCGTCGCAAATACGACAGCAATACTCGGAAGGAGAGCAACGAAATTGCTCTAAATGCCACGCGCGAGCGTGAGTTCAAGAACAAGGGTGCCCGACCTAAAGGTCGATGGGCAAAGCCAAAACGATCATGTCAATTCTGCAAGAAGACCAACCATAGTGCACAAGATTTCTGGTCCAATCCGGCAAATAAAAGACAGTCCAATAAAGAGCAAGCGATCTCCGTTTCGGAGCACTATTCAAAGGTTGGATATTGGACAGTGATACAAGTAGCCACATGCGCCCATTTCAAGACGAGCTCAAGGAAATTCGTCCACTCAGCTCGCCAATCGCCATTTCAGTTGCAAATGGTGGCAAGATCATGGCAGCCGGAGTCGGGACAATTCGAGCGACATTGAAGAACAAGGCACCAATCCGGATCGAAAACGTTTAATACGTTCCAGATTTGGACCGAAAATTGCTTTCGATTTCGGCCCTATCACCGAAAGAACTTAAAGTCTTTTTTGGCAACAAGAGTTGCACGATCAAGAATGGTCAAGACATCGTGACGAAGATTCCCCAAACTGGGAAGTTGGTCGTGTTGGATTGTATTCCATCAGAAACAGCGAACATGAGTGAAGAGGCTGGTGTATAAAAAAAACCAGTTGGTGCAAGCGTCTGGCATGCCCAATTGGGACACTTACCGACAAAGAAGCTGAAAAACATCGAAGATCAAGTAAACAGTTTCAAAGTCAAGAATCCCTATGAAGATGATGTCGAACACGACGAAATCTGTGAAGGATGTGTGACTAATAAGTCCACAGTTAAGCCATCTCCAAAATCGGGATATGGCCAAGTCAAGACGAAATCCCTCCTTCAATCGCCCACAGCGACGATATGGGTCCAATGGAGACCACATCTCAATGGGGAGCAAGATACGTCGTGACATTTATCGACAATTTTCCAAGATTCGTGGTGGCGCTCTTCATTATGCACAAGTCTGAAGTAGTTGATCAGTTCATTGATTATATATTAATGATAGAAAATCAGCTCAATGCCATTATCGAGTGTATTCGCACAGACAATGGTAGCGAATGTATCAACAAACGATTCAATGGAATCTGTCGCAAGTCGGGAATCATCCAACGATCCAAGATTCCGTATTCGCCACAACAAAATGGGCTAGCGAAACGGATGAACCGAACGATCACGGAACGTGCACGATCGATGTTAAATCACTTGCACGTGGACAAGCAATTTTGGGCGGAAGCGACGAACACGGCAAGGTTTATTATGAACCGAATCCCGTGCGCAGCCCATCCAAGTAAATCTCCGTACGTAATTTGTTTGAGACGGAAACCCGATCTTGCAAATTTGCGTGTTTTCGGAGCCCAAGGTTTTGCACATGTTGATAAGGCCTAACGATCCATGTTAGGCAAGGAAGCTCTCGATGCATTTTCCTCTGTCTCTCGGATAAGTCAAGAGTTTTCGAGTTTGGAACCTCGAATCCAAGAGAGTAGAAATACTCGCTCAGCAGGTCCATAGGGACCCTCGGTACAGCGACACAAGCTACGTTGCTAAACGAACAGTGACGGTGTCACTCAACCGCGCGTCCAGCACCTCAGCATAGAGCTGGCTTACCAGCTTGGAGCTCTCCCTCCTCCTTCTCAGCATAGCTGTGATCCATTGGCTCAGCTATGCTATTAGTAGGAAAACGCCGCTTCGACTGAAGTAACGCACGTCAGTGCCCATTCTCACGCTCGAACCTAGAGCTTGGAAGAAGATGGCGCCACGCGCTGTTGCTCGTTCTAAAGCATGGCGGACGCCATAGCCATTCCGGCCTCTCTCACCCAGAGCAGGAGTTTCTTTTCATCTTTACTCTCAAAGGTCGTAACGCTCACCATGATAATCATCGACGGTGGTGTCATGGACGCAGTCGATGCTGACATCTTCTCTAGGTGCTCTAACAGAGTATTTTCATAGCTCGAAAATGCCTCTTGGCGCGCGCCCATCAGTTCAGGTCCTTGCAATCGAGGTATTGTACGCCCTCAGAGCCAAGCAGAGACATCAGCTTTTTAAGCCCATCCTGCATGCCCTGGGATAAATTAGAGAGGTTCTCCATTCTCACAGAGGATCAGATGTAGCGAGTCAGGTATAGAATAACTACAAGTGCTGCCAAGTGCAGCGGGGCTGTCGTAGCTCTTTCGCTTAAGGATACTAAGGTGAGATCACCGAACTTCGTTCCATACTTAGAACCAGTACGAGTGTGGCGAATCGCAGTCCGCTACTCGAAGAGTAACTACAACCCTGGCCCAAGCCAAATATACTCTTCCATACAAAGTGTGAGCTGTGTTTCTTGGTTTTTTTGCAGCAAAGCCGCTTATATTTCAATGTATAGATATTCTCAATTAAAAAGTAAAACCTCATTATACTGCATAACTGCCGGCAGTCTAGCCACGTACTGACTTCTTGTTAAGGTTAAGCCACACCATTTAGTGACTAAATAGACTTGTGTAATTCACACCCTTGCATGGTCACACCGTCTTGTGTAATTCACATCCTTGTATGGTCACACCATCTTGTGTGACACACCCCTTCTACCAGGGTACGTGTAACCCCGTTACAGAGCTCAAAAACTCTACAACTCCCCAAAATGCAATCGCAGTTTTGGTCCTAACAGTGAAGAATATGCCTGCATGGTTTGATGTCTTAAGTCACTTTAGTTGGCAGCTACTGTGTTCCCACACTCGCCACGATTTGGCCAGCGATGTAGCGTGGATGTAGCATGATCATGCCTCCGGGTCTATAAAAAACTGTATTTGCGTTACTCATAAAAGTGTATATTTGCAATAAGTCCTTCCTTTCATAAGAGCCAAGCGCAGCCCACGTTGAGCGGCAACAGCATATTACGTCTCACCCGTTTTACAAAATGTTTCCTTAGCTCCACTTTTCGTTTAAGCTTGTCATTGTTTCATGATAATTCGCATTTGTGCGCGAATCGTTCATGTTTACTTTATTCAAAAAATGCTGTGCTTCCTCATGCTTGCAAAAGCACTGCTTTGTATGCACCGCTCACTCCTGTAAATGCCTATTATTCGGGATTGGATAACGTAAGGGTATGTTGACGTTTGCTGACTAGATATATTAGCTGGTATGTTCACCATTATTATTAAGGACTTGTGTCTGGGAGCGCGACCTGATGTGTGGCAGTGAAACCAAATAAGGACGAAATAGCTCTCAACTTTTTGTCGTAAATGAACCGCGAGATGTGTTACAGCGTGGCGTATAAGGTAGAATCCTCGTAACTTATGTCGCAGTACAAAATTTACACAAATATGAAGTGCGGGTCTTTATTGTTTAACCAGGTGCTATTCTCTGCTGCATTTGGCGGCAACTGAAGTCGTTTGAGCGAATTCTAAATACCCCAAATTGTGCACACAAAAGGTTGAATGGACAGTCATAAAAATGAGCGTGAAACTTCCCCAAAGTGCAAAAGCTGTACCGATACTGATAGTAAGCAGTTACATTCCATGGATCAATGTCTACGGTCGCTGCAATTCGCAGCGCCGTGCACGTGTTATTCGCAATATTGTGGCGGCTTGTACTAGATCGTACCTATTACTATCAGCCAAACGTAGATCCATATTCGCAATGAGCCAACACGTTTTGGTGAGTGATATGCCTTTATTGCAGCGTAGTTAGAAAAACTTAACCTTTCAGATAAAGTGTATACATTAAACCGACAATAACTCCGTTCCAAACTAGTTTATAGGTCAGTGATATCTCCGGACAAAATGGAAAGACGAACAGGCAGAACGGCTCTCAGTATAATGAATGTTCTTTTGGTGCAAATATATAATGCAGTTACACTTAATTCACGTTTCGCTCATGTGTTACTGTGCATTCTCATAAGCTCCAATATCGATATTGGTGGTGATGGAATACCATAAATGACCATACCGGGCAGGTACACATGAGCTGCCAGCCACACGTTGGAAAGTATTATGGTAAAATGTAGAACGTATATTTATCGGTGGCATGAGTTGCGTTAAAATTTAAACACGAGTATTCTTGAAGCAGCAGTGCTGACTAGACACCTTATTACAGCAGAGACCCTCAATTCCGTTCTTGGTAGGAGTGGTCACATTCAACCTTTGTGCGATTGTTAATGCGGACTCTTTGAGTCAAAGCTTCCTCTATGCAAAGTGCTAGGCAAATTCGTAGTGGTTTAGGCGACGACTTGTACATCTGAACTGGGAGTGATATTTACTAAGACAGTGTAGTGTGTATGCAAGCTGGTTGAAGCACACCATCATCCAGACTTGAGTTTCAAATACAGTAAACACACAAAAGCATTCCATCATGAAAGGCATAGCCAAAAGTTACAGCAATGAAGCAAACCGGAATAGCGAGTGACGTGGTTGGAAATTAAGATGCAACACGGGCGGCACTCAACTAGGGTGTAATCCTTCTAACTTCAACTCAATTTGCAGTCAGCGTCCAGGAACTATGAAGTGCCATTCATTTGGAGTTTGTATACTATATAAGCTTCTTCATATTTGGCGCCCCATTGCAAAGAACCCCCTTCAACGGTTTTCCTGGTGTACCTTCTTAGACCACTAGAGGTAAAAAAAATCTATCTGGAATGGTTGCGCGATGAAGCTTACTCGTTTAAAGTAACATTTTAGTAGATCATCGTAGATGTTGTTGCTGGAACGTCCGGTCATAATATTTTCTCTTGTGTACTCCGTCCAACAAGTTAAATCAAACAAAGTGATAAAGATGTTGCCTCCATCTAAATTACGATGTGTCAAGCGTTATAATACGAGACAAGCATCGTATTTACGTCAATCGACGGATAGAGCTTACGTAGAATCAATTAAAGTACGTACCATTCGTACATTAGTCCGGTTTAGAGGTGCTTATACACCTTAATTGGAATCATTTGACTCAGCTCGACGCTGACTCCAGTCTGGACCTACACTTCGCTTATAGCCGTAATCGAAAAGCAGCTCTTCGCCCACTTTAATGTCTCGCAACGCCCATATAGTGATGTGATGTACACCACAGACACTTACCACCTTCGCTGTACAATTAGGTTTATCACTAGAATGGTTAATAAACTTGCTTTTGTTTCCACAACGAAGTGCATCTAGTACAGCATCCTCATTTAAATCAAACAAATAACTCATTTCCATCTTGTCATAAATCATCCCACGACGCTCTGCTTCATCTTGCGACAGCATAGCACCAGTGTATTCGTACACAAACTCGGCTGATGCGATGGCTTCACGAGCAAATATACCGTAGCCATGAATTGTAGAAATTCCCAAACTTAGCCGTTTGTGCTGACCATGCATCACATTAACATTACCACACAGAGAATTCTCATACCTGACTTGATCAAGTAATTTTGACACTGCCACGTCACTCGCACCACATTCGATACAGACGTCAGGATCACACTCGCGCTGAGCTGCAAAACACGGACATTTACTCGTACGACATTCACCAGGTGAACACGAACAGCCTTCAAATCTGCCAAACCAAACATCATAAATGAGCCACCACCATTTAAGTTAGCAGTCCATACGTCAGGCGATTATATAGCGCCGTAATATGTCACGCACCTATTCGGGCAATCGCGTGAGCATGCACAGGCTTTCTCACACATGTGGTCACGCTTCATGCACGAGCAGCCAGACGTGTTGCACATGCCGGTGTGTGCGCACGGCTGGTACTCATGACTTTCCGTCCCTCTATCTTGCAAGCGTTGATTTCGTGTCCGTTGGAGCAGCTCGTGATTACTTTCTCCAATTCTTTGTCTCTGCGTCCAGCTGCGCCCACGGCCTGATCTACTGACTCTGTCAGTCACACTTAGAGCTTTATCACTAGTCTGCTCGTTCTCGATTAACTCGTGTATATCGTTACAAGATGCTGAATCAAGAATGGCTGACAGCAAGCAAGAGTTATCACCCATCGTCTCTCGAAGCTTCCGAATCAAACTCAGCTCTGCTGCCGACATTACATATTCCTGGACACTTTTTCCTGATGGTTTTTCTTTCTTGCAGCACATCGAGCTACATTTTTTCGTCGCGGACAAAAACAAGTGCATCTTCGCTGCCACGAGTGGGACATGCGTTGCATCAACATATTCGGACGGGTCCACCATCAGTGTACGCTTATGTCGTTGTGATTGCTTAGACCGACATCTACTATTCATGTCATCGTCACTATCCAAGTTAATCACTTCCCCATTCCTCTTATTTGATGCATCAACCTCTTCAGAAAGGTCGTAAACAACACTTTCGCATTCAGGCATTTCCTCATCCTCTTCACCGTCAAGCCAAATCACATTTTTACCCGGCACAACTCCATCTTTGCAATCGGAAGGTGCAACGAATTGAGTTGTCGAGTTTACTCGGGGATAGATTGGATCTACACGCCTGGCAGGCAGTGGGTGATCATTACCATGTTCGTGGCATGCGTACATATAGCACACTCGACAAAACGAGTCATGGAATACATCCACTAGTCCCTTATATGAGTCTGCGATGCGCAAACCCAGTCCGGCAACATTAAACGTGGCACCATCCACAAGATTGTCAGCAATGTTTGACTCAAAGTTGCAGATTGGTGAGTGTAAGCGCCAATTCAACGAGCACATAGAGCGCGAGAACGACAACTTCTCCATCAATTTAGTCATTGCTCTAACATTTGTATTTTGCGCATGCTTCTCGTTGCAAAGAAGTTTCTCCACACGATCAAGTTTAAGTTTTGCGTGTTGTCTTGAGTCGTGCAGCTTCTTGAGCTCACTGTACGCTGTGTAGGCCTGAGCAAAACCCAGTTCACTCTTAAGTGCATAGAATATTTGATCGGACGCACCAAGGCAATTAACCACAAGCCGCAAAACATATTCAGCCACCTCTTCATCGGCGATATTATCATACCGTGGCCTATATTTCTTCATCAACCTACCATTTTCATTTCCGACAGTATCTTCACTCGAACTTACGACGTAGCGCTGGATCGGGTTATCGTCTACACGATAATTGACGCACAAACCGATGCTCGTCGTGTACTTTCGAAGTGGTTGAATTTCATTCAGACGGTTGATCTGGACAACTGGTGATTCGGCATTCTCACGCACAACGTCATTACCTTGTCCAGTAAAGACCGAAATTTCTCCAAAGCTTTGGCAAGATGCGAATTGCACGGCTTTGAGTTTTCTCATGGCGGCCTTTTCCGCCAAGGAGAGAGGGAGAAGGTACGGAGACAGACTCACTACAAATTTCGCACACAGCAATGATAAGCAAGCAACGCTTACAAAAGTGCTTGAGAAGCTCCATACCATTACGACCACGTTGAGCTTTATTGTACTTTCTCAATGCTGCTTGATACGCAATGACCTTTGCACGAGCCTCAGTCAAAGTAGCTTTCAACTTGCTTCGATAACAATGACGAATAAGAGGAAGTCGCGCTGTCACCAAGGCATTTACGGAGCGGGTGGTCTCACCCTGTGGCTTCGCCGCATCACCTGGAAACACCGATGAGATACATTGAACCGATTTGCCAAAGCTTGTCAAGATTGAGCACTGAGCAGATAATGAATTTGTTTCATCTATATAGTGAATGGCAGCAAGCAAAAGTCAACAGTGAGCAATGCAGCTTGATTAAAAACTATCAGTAGCACTGTCTTACCATAAAATGTAAGCGGACGGTTGCAATCTGACTCGAATGGCGCACTGAATGCCGGGTCGCATAGTACAAGGATATTCGGAGGGGCTTTAGCAAAGTAAACACCGCGATATGATGTAGGATGCATAATCGCTTTGCAAGCATCTGACACTGAAATCGAAGTGGCCGTGACTTCGTTCTCTACTTTTTTTCTTGTCTGCTGCGAAGCGGCCGTAATTAAGTTCTCCTCTTTTTCCCTTGACTGCTGCGAAGTGGTCGTGACTAAATTACCTACTTTTTTCCTTGTCTGCTGCCGTTCCTGATTTTCGCTTTCTGTTGATTCTTTCGCAGATACTGCGCTATTAGCACCCGAGAGACCATTCATGCTAATCACGTCTTGGGACGTCTGAGCTTCTTGTGCGGCAAAGCTTTGAGCCCGGGACTTATTTTGAGTTTGCTTGAGCTGGGAGCAGATTCTTGCTAATTCGTGCTCCTGGGCCTGCAGATCTGTCAGTGCCACGCGATCTGGATTAAAACGTGGAGCCACTCGCCGTTTTTTTCTTGGTGATGGTGATGATACATTTGAGGACATTGCAGGCACTGCTGACGGCGTGACGGACGAGTGGATGTCGACAGAAACCGATTGAGGGTGACAAGACTGGACCGAGACGTCCGTGGCTTTTTTACGCGCCTGTCCCGTTGAGCGTGACACTTTATTTGATCTCGTTACAGAATTTGGCGCCGGTGTTTTTGTCGATGATTTGGCTGGCGAAGACATTGGTGATGATGAAGCCGATGACGATGACGATGACAGCAGAGACACGAGATCATGCGAAGTTGTACTCAAAACCTTTGATTGAGATCGTGCAATGCTCATGTCAGACTTCTTGTCTACCAATCTAGTTTTATTCTTCTGATTTCTCGAAGCTCCACTATTATCAACAAAAACTTTGCCAAACCTCAGCTGAATATCGCCTGAGGCGGGTTTGTGCTGAACTCTCGCTAGTTTTTCGCTTGTCACCTGTTTCTTGGTATGCTCAAACAAATTTAGACGATGGCATTTCTCTTTGCTCGAATCGTGTGAGACTGGTGTAATTTTACGTTTTGCACGACCATTAACCGCCAGTTGCTGCTTTGCAGTATTCACTTGTGTCCGTTTCGACGAGTCAGTATCTGACGACGTTGGCGACGACACGAGTTGACGGTCACGTATATACTCTGAGGAACTAGAAGAAGAGGACCAAAGATCAACGACCTCCGCTGGTTGTTGTTTGTTTTGGTCTAAACTTTTTGAGCCATCGCTCCGAGATCGATCAATCAAACTAGTAGCATTCACCACTCGGCCTTTCAATTCTACTTTATCAAGTGATGTTCGATTGCTTGATCTATGCCGTTTAGCTTTAGCAACGCTGAAGCGATGGTGACGACGTGATCCAACATTCATGCTGGAGCTCAAATCTGAGTCAGAATCTGAGCTAAATTTGTCTAAGTTTGTACGGGAAAGCGAGGATTCTGAGGTGCGCTGGCTCATACCGCGTCTACGTCTTGGTGTAGATTTTTGACTGCAACTTTTCTCTCGCTCCCTCGTTGGTATGTTCTCTATGTGCTGTTGGTTCAAAGTCTTTTTGGACTTTGTTGCTAGCAATGGTGGAGCTAACGTCGCTCTTTTCTTCTTTGTAATTGAGCTACGATTGGTCGTCATCTCAGTTGTATCTAGCGCTGCAGCCATTGCCAACGCCGCTTCCACCGCGTCTGCATAGCCAACTGATTGTGCACGCTCCCACTGAGGAGCCAGAGGCGACAACGAGGTGGAAGACGCTGAACTTTGCGTCATCTCGCCCTCGGAAGACGCGTCGCTGCTGTCGTCGACTACTATAACCTCCATCGCTTCATCTATTTAATTTTTGCAATATAAAGTTTAGCACTTTTGAACATCAAATTATTGGCTTTTTATTTATATTTCGAAAAAAGTCGTTGATGTACGGAAGGATCTTTGACATGCTAATTCTGCATTAATGAATCTGTAGAGAACGTTTGCAAAGGTCATCGCTACGAAGCAATACTTTACACATGCTCGAATTAAAAGGCTATCTGTTTGAAATACAGCCAAACTAAAAAGATACTTATACTATATATGTTAGTCAAAACACTATGATTGCATCGATTTCTGAGCTTTACTAAAGCGTTAACACCTGCACCGAATTAGATGACACACTGATGAGATCAACTATTGATGTAAAGCTAGCAGAGGTGTGAAAAGGCGTTTATTTATGCAAGCTCAATGATAAGAAGCGTATCGCTTAGCATAGCTGACACACGACGCAACTGCTACATTTCAACTGGAATTCACGACTTCTGCAAGGAAGTTGTAGTGCATATCGCACAGCTGAAAGCTTAACGAGTCCATGTTCACTAACGCATAAAAGATGGGTTCGTACACCCCACGCACGAGCGAGACCAAGAGCCTCTCAGATAACTATGTGCCTAACATGCTCTTTTTTACTGGTGACTTTCAGTTAGAATCTTGTTTAGTTAAATTTACATGCACAATAATAAATTACTATAGTCTAGGCTAGTAGCTCACGTATAACGGCGTTACACGTACCTCTGTAAGAAAGGCCGGTCGCACCTTACAGCTAGTGTAATCAAACAGTGGTGTGGCTACACCGTAACAAGAAGCCGTAGAAATGCATATTACTATATTAATTAAGTTTTGCTATATTAATTAGGTATTACTCTATTAATTAGGAAAACCAAAGTTTAAGCTCTGCCGCAACTAAAACAATTTCGTTTACCTTGGTAAGGCTTTACTACTAAGAAGTAGCGGATTGCGATCCGCTACACTTGTACTGGCTCTTTGAAAGAGGTAAGGTCGGTGACTTTAGCTAAACTTTCTCTTAGCAAAGAGCTACGACAGCCCCGCTTCATTTGGTAGCACTCGTAGTCAATCTACGCCTGGGTCGTTAAGACTGATCCTCTGTGAGGATGGAGAACTATTTGCCCCAGGTCATGCAGGACAGGCTTAATATGCAGATGTTCCTGCTGGGTTATGACGGCGTGGAGCACCTCGTTGCGCAAGGGCCCGAGGCCAAAAGGGCGCACCTAGAAGCGTTTTCCAGTTCTGAAAATGCTCTGTTAAAGGCGTCGACAGCGTTTATAACGTCACTGTCGACGACGGATGATTCCTTTCGACCCAGGCCGCTCGTGGTAAGCGTTAAGCCCTTTAAGGGTAATGATGGAGAGTATCTCTTTCTCTGAGTGAGAGAGGCCGAGATGGCTATGGCATCAGTCGTGCTCCAAAACGAGCAACAGCGCGTAGAGCTAGCTATCTCCAAGCTCGGGGACCGAGCGCGAGAGTGAACACTAACGTGCGGTGCTTCATTTGTATCTACATTCCCACTTGGAAGGAGCTGGAGCATCAAAGTCCGCGAGTGTTTTTGCCGCCTAATCAGGCGTATCGCGTTTCCTTACTGCCTGACAAGGCAAGAAGGAGTTGGTGGACTTTGTCCAAGAGTTGAAACTCTTTTTACTGGGATGGCATCAGATCCTCTTCCCGAGGCGGTGGCAGTGACCGTCATTATGGAGGGCCTCCGCACGCAAACGCTGCGGAGAGGAACTACCAGTCCACGACAAGAAAATTTCTTGCGATGAAGTATGCACTTTTCAAGTTCAGGGTGCATCTGCTAGGCTCAAAGCCGTTTGTGATCTTCACAGATCATGCATCATTACGTACTGCGACTCAGTTGCCTCACCTCTCGCAGAGGATGGCCAGGTGTTTCTAATTCTTTGCAGAATATAACTTCGAGGTGAAGTATAAGCCCGAATAGCGGAATGCTTTGGCTGATGCGTTGTCACGCAGACCGGACTATGTGCTTGTTCATGTCACGACGGTGGCGACGTCAGTAGCGGATTTGATCCGCGCCGCACACGCGGGTGATAGTATGTGTGTAGCGCTGGCTCTCGGAAGCAAGGCCTTTGGAAACTCGGACAAAACATTGTCGGCGCGTTTGCACGCTCGGTTACACCAATATTCGTTGAGTCACGGTTTGCTGTATTATAGCACCGATTCCACCGATACGCCACGAATTGTGGATCCCTGTGATGAGAATTTGAAATACAGTATCCTCTACGAGGCCCATCGAACAAGACGAGTGTACTATACTTTGTACAGCCAACAATTTTGTTCTGGAGAACGTCCTTGCTACGAATCGACGTCTGTGCCGGCATGGTGGCAACGTTTGGCTTTATTTAAACGTAAGCAATACGCCACTTGCTGTCCGGCTACCGGACACAAAACGTGGGTGTCCGATTGGGAGACTTGCTCTCACACACCAATCCTGCCTTGTGCTTTACACGGAAAAAGGCGTCGATGTCGTCACACTACTCCTTTGGCAGGGGCTATTGGCGCGTTACGCAGTATCTGGTTTCTGAAACCAGGTCGATCTCATGATGCACACCTCGTTCCGGAGAGTACGATCGACGGCGGGACGACGTCTTGAAATAAAAACTCCTTTACTAAAGAAAAGTACGGATCCGAGGGATCCATCAGGATCGACGATCCACTTCGTGTGATCAGAGCCTTCTTAGTGTTCTTCAGGAGAGGTTCATCTAGAAGCAACGACGAGCTAATCTCGTCCTTCGCTCTTATAATGACCACCTCTACTGAATTGCCTGCCATCAAGGCACCGTCAGACGCTTCGAAGGACATCTCGTCCGACTCAAGAAGATTATCCACCGCGGAAATAGCCTCGAGGGTAACGTCGCCGTCTTCCTCTCCCGTCATACCGTTTTCAAGGGTGTTTAGCTTGCGCTATCGTCTACGGTAGACACACCCTGGGCCAGAGTCGGCGCCCTGCATACTGCAGATAACACATGGCTTCGCCGTCTCCTCTCTATAGAGGTGTTACGACTCATCGAGACCAGTGGGAACACACACTCGGCGTCATCCAGTGTCCCCACCCCCTGCTTCATCGGAGCCTTGATGTTATCAGCTACAACCGACAAAGTGATGTTATTTCCGCAGCCTACGTCCAATGGATAACTAGCCACTCCACGCGCATCAGAAGGGCCTTGCCTAGGATGCCTCGGACCTCGTCCGACCATGATAATCTTGGCATGCAGCAACTGCTTCGTAACATGAGCAGTGATCAGTGGATTACGTGCCAATCAACGTGCATCACACGGGTGTCGCTCGATGCCTCGACCCTTGGCCAACCATGCCACTCATGGCATGCAGCGACTGCTACTTGAGCAGCGCTCAGTGGATTACGTGCCACGCCACGTTCAGCATGCTAGCCGCGCTAGGGACTCCTGTCCAGATCACCTTTGGTGTTTGACAGCTCGGATATCCCGATATTCAGCACATTGACCATACCAGTCAAGTGCCCGCGCTGATATAACTCACCAAAGCTCCACCAGGAGACGTGCGCGGAACGCCCAAGGTCTTCGTCCTCCAATCGATCTATGGATCATGGTGCTCCATCGCAAAGATGAGGTCATACCTTGAATCCAAGTCTAAGACCAAGCAGCATTCGACGCTATCAAAGTCAACAAACTTGACACCGAGGTCCACAGGGACCTTCGATGTATACCAAATACAATGGTTTTTGTTACCACTGACTGTTCTATATAGCGTGAGGCAAGACACCATCTCCCTCATTCGTTTAAAAGCAGTCATAATCCTTCACCAAACTAACATATTTTGGTACTTCTGAGCTCCAATCGACAGCAGTGACATAAGTGTTAGGTGCACGTACACAATACTACAGCGGCATTGAACCCCTTAGTGGAGTCGAGCCCGTAAAGAGTAGATTAAATGTTGGCTATCAAAACCAACATCTTACTTCTAACGACTGTCAGAAAACACTCAAGATTTGCGGTAGCCACCAAGTATTGTGGGGTCCACATGAAACGATTGGTGTATTTGTAATCTTGAAAATGATTTGAGCCTATCTCCAGCATAACTTTTACATTGTATAGAGCAAAATTTGCTTACAGAACTTTGATAAAGCTGGTAAGTAATGACGCAGATATTTGGACAGAATGTGTTGTATTCAGTTGAAAGAAGAAGAGCATATTGACATGAACATTGGATTTTTTGTATTAAGCCTGAGACAAAGATCTCCGGCTCAAAAATCCCGATGCTGTTATCACCAAAGTTTTTGTGTCACCCATCAAGAACATTGGCTTATTCTTAACACCAATACTGAAATCTTCATATTTAAACTTTGACTTCATCAATATCGTGAGAACAGAAGGTCGAACTGGTAAATTTACTGTAGTATTGTCGCTCTACAAAAAAGACACAACCGTACGTCTTTTATGTTGCAAAATTTAGACATAATTTTTTAGTATTGGACTACCATTATTCTTCAACACCAGCCGAGGTGAACGCTTGGTCCACCTCCTTCACGGTTTCGTCACGACATTCCACATCATCAAAATTTCCTGTTCTGTAGCCACCACAAGCGCACGACTAACGCGTCTGGTCAGACTCTGCAATACGCCCCAAATCACTTAAGCATCATCGCAATTTGCTAATTGTTGTCACTTTTACTCCAACTCTCCGTGAAGAGATGCGTCTGATTCGGGATGTTCGACGCTTTGACTGTGAGACCCAACGGCGTCGATCCCGTCGCTCACTTCTTCGAAAATGGCTCGCGTTAAGCCACAGTGAGGATGATCAGTGTGTTGAGGACTACAAGCAGCAGGAGGTACTCCATGGTCCATTCTCCTTATGTATCACTCGCCGCACTGTGTCGCCTCTGACCCCTAGTCTTAAAAAAGCGCAATCTCCACTTGCTGTTAGATGGAGCTCCTGTATTGAAGCATTTCGTCTTCGAGACAATGGTAATGCACAACGTCGCGTCAGATTTGCGGAGAGAGAGGAAGAATGTAGCCGGCCAATATTTACGACCGAGGAGAAAGCCTTGTACCATTATTCAGCCGAAGAATTAGAAAATATGGCCGCTTTTGCCTCGCAGTCAGTGCACCGCGAGTCACGATTTGCTGGTCAACCAAAGGGTACGATACTGGAGCAAGGATTTCTTAGTTTACCAGTGCACGCTCCATTTGTCCAAAGCAAACGTTACTATTGTCTCTTACGAGGCCATCAAATCCAAATGTATAGCTCTGCAGCTCATGCTGCAAAAAACTCGGGATTAAAGGGTGAGATCACTATTCTTCGAGCTCAGGATTGTGAAACTTTATCAATGAAAAAGAAATTTGCGCTCTTTGGTGCCTCGATGCCTGCTCAGCTCAGTCTCATGTTCTACGTGATCAAAGCCAATGGCGAGCGCATAATTTTTACTGCAGACACCAAGAGTTCGAAGTGCAATTGGGTGCACTCTCTTACTCAAGTTACGTACGTGGGGGAAAAAGACAATTACACTGCTCTGCCACCAATTCGGTCGCGCTCAAGCTCAGCACCCACGAAATTTTGTAACTTATCTCCTGTACCGGAAGTGGAAACGGATGAGGAAATTCATGACAATGTCACTGCTGTTTCCAAGTCGGACCGAAGGAATAGCTGCTTTGCTGACTACCGATAAAGTGCTTTGAAGCCCGTCCGGCACTTTGACCTTTGATAGGTACCATCATACAAAACCGAAACAAGTTTATAATTATCATTCTTTGGGAGAAAGAAACAAGTGTAAGAAACAAATTGAGCCGCTGGTAGCTTAATACAGATCTAGCTTTTCCAATTTTTAGAAACATAATAAGTAATATATATTAGCTAATAGCATTAGCTTAGTAATTATGTTGTTGCACTTGAAGTAGACATAAGTTGAAGCTCAAGCTAACCAAATTTCATCTGCTTTCGTCGCTTTCTCGACAGCAAGCGGTCCCCGAGTTAAAATTGACGAAATTTCCTTGTGGGTGCTTGTCGAGTTATAGCTTTTTTGGGTAGGATTTCTCTACATACGGTTTTACGCAATTTTTACCTATTTTTCTTTTGTAATTTCGTGTTGTTAAATAGTATTCCATAATGGAAGACTAACCATCTCACAAAACATTTACCCCGCATGCGCATAAAACTAACTTTACCTTGCAGTGCGCGATGGTCTCGTGCAGCAGTGAGTAAGGCGGAAATGAGCACAAAAGACTATTTTCTGATACGGATTCGTTAGAATTTTCCTTATGTTTGATTATGTGCTTAAATGACCACAATAAGAAACAGATCGAATAGATACAAAACATACCTCTATATAACAATATAATATCCTTTCAGATGAAATCTGAGTTCGTACGTTGAGCTGAATGGCACCACCACCGCCGCCACCGCTAGAGCCTGCTCTCGGTCTCAATATTATCAGTCACGTAAATGCAGGCCTCGAATATATTGATGATCTAGTACGTGCGTTTCCCTAACGATTCTACAGGTTTTTTATTCAAAACTTGTTCATCTTCCACAGGAAAACGACGAAGTGTGCGAAGAGCTAGTTGAGCAAATGAATCTACACGGGAATTCGGTTCAGTCAATGGACGGACTCGAAGTTTACACCGGGTACAGTAGAATGCAAAGAGCTTACGAATTATTGTCTTACTTTGTACAAATAGATTGGTGGAACTCTGCCTATCAAGCAATTGTATCGAAGAGATCGCATTTCATGCCCTGCAACCATTGGTGCATCTCCGCGTCCTTGATTTATCAGCTAATCGGTACCAAATACAAGCATCTGTATCGAGTGCTTGCTATTGTTGCTGACATCTCGGTATTGTAGCATTTTGTCCACGCTAGGATTTCCACAATTGCCACGTCTTGAGGAGTTATCGATAGCGCACAATTGGTGTGTTCGCTACAACACTTGACAGCGCAAGTTACAATTTTAATTTGAATTCAGTTTGCAAGGTTTAGATGGTTTGATCCGTCCCATAAAGTTTCCAAAGCTGCACTATTTGGATCTTCGAGGCAACGAAATAGCAGAATTTAATGACGTGCTCGTGCTGCAACGACTCAAAGTAAGTAGAATTTATTGCTTCAAAGTCGTGGATAATAGCCGGATAAGATATGTCAAATGCACCTGTTTAGCGCCTCGCTCACGTTCGACTGCAAGCAATAAGCGGTAAACAAGCCAACCCGGTCTGCGAACTCGATGGTTATCACCAAATCATGATTCAGGTACCTCATCTTTATAACAATTACATTCACTTCGTTGCTTACTCTACACTTGCAATCAAAAGATGCTACCACGACTAAGGCTATTGGACGAAGAGGAAATAGACATTTTGAAAGAAATGGGCAGTTTGCACATGCCAAAATACCAGTCATTCATGCGTCGAATTGTCGAAAGCAATCGCCCTCATCGAATCTCGAATCGAATGTTACGTAATACTAGACAAAATCGATCAGATATCGACGATAACGATCAAGACGAAATAGTACCGGCAAAACGATACACTGATAGGGAGCGATCGAACGCAAAACCTCTTAGTGGTGATACAAAAAATAGCCGACTTCACCAAGATTCGTGTACAGCGCAAAACGAGGATAAGACATTGCCAGCGCAAAAGCTCGTAGTGAAGGATATGAGTACAAACACGAGTGTGGATCTAGAGAAAGACATCTTAGAACGTGAGCATACCATTGCACAGAAAGAGACTGAGCTGCTTGAAATAGAAAAGGCTTTTCTTACGAAAGAGAATTATTTTCTTGTTCGGGAAGATAGCCTCAAAGCTCAAATTTGTGATCTGCAAGATCAAGTGAAGGCTGCTGAAGCGAGAGCAATTAAAGCTGATGCCACAGTGCTGGAGCTGTCCAATCATCTTCTCAAAAGAGAAAACGAACAAACAGCTGCAGCGTTAGCATCCGATGACGAAAAGAAATCTGCTCAAAATTGTTATACTGAGCAGCAATCAAAGTACGAAGTTTCTCTTGCAGCACTGAAGACCACACACCAACAAGAGGTTGATCATCTTGACGCACAAAACGCCGAGTTAGAGAAACAGGTAGCGGAAATCAATATTGAGTTTGAAGCTTTCAAGCAGAGACTTCTTGATGCCGAAGAGCGCATTAAACATAAAAGCGATAAAGTCAAGGCTAGCAAGTCTAAAGTAGCTGAACTTACAGGAGAGCTAGAGCTTGCTCTCAAAACACACGAAGCTATCGCAAAACCGCTTTCGGACGAAAACAAATATTTAAAAGATCGCGTGGAGCAAGCTGACAAGCGTAGTGGTGAGCTAGAAAAGCAAGTGACTGAGCTGAAATCGAACGTTGAGACGGTGTATAATAAATGTATTGAAAGGGACGAGACTATTCAGCACTTAAAAAAGAGTCTTCTAGCTCGCCAAGACGACATTGATGCGCTAAAACTGCAGCACGAAAAAGACTGCATGCGCCACGAAAAGTTTCAGCAACAGCAGCAAGACGTCTATGAGCGGCAGCTCCAAACATCAATCATTCAACTCGAGATGGAGTTTCGAAAAGAGTACCATCAATGTGCGCAGAAACTTCAGACAGCGCAACGCAAAACCCAAGAGCGATCAAAGGATGTCAAGCGTCTTCGAGATGCTTATCAACACAGTCTTCAGCGCGAAGCAGCTGCCAAAGTCGAAATTGAAAAACTTCAGGCCATTCTAGCAGACGATCAGAAGAGGCTTCTCGTTGAAGATGCCAAGCGTGTGGACACATATAAAGCAGCAATTCGTGAAGAAAGAGCCAAGTGCAAGGAACTCGAACATTGTCTGATGAAAGAGCAGGAAAATTATGCTCAAATGGCTGCTGTCAGTGCAGAGCGGGACGAACAGAGGATTGAAAATGAGCGACTTTGCAACGATATTTCCTTGCTAAAGGAGCAGCTCGAAAAGTGGAATAAAGTTGAGGATGATTTACGAGCTGCTTTAAAAGTCAAAGATGTAATGCTGGCGGACCAACTCCGTCAAATTAAGGAGTTGACGCAAGAACGTCGTCGAATCGACGCGCAGGTTGATGAAGAAATGGCCGAATACCAGACGCAGATCGAAGAGTTAGAGGCTGCGTTAGACGAGAGTCTTCGAAAGGCAGCTGAAGAAGAGGTGAAGAATGAAACACTGGACACGAAGCTTATTGCTTTAGAAAAAGATACGCTTAAGAAAGATGATCAGCTGAAATCGCTTCGCACTGAATTAGAGCAAAAAGTGTCGGCACTCGAGTTTCTTGATCAAGAAATGCAACGCATGCGAAAAATTCTTGAAAATCAAGATGATCGGTTTCAAAAACGAATGCAAACACATCTCGAGCAACATCAAGAAACAGTTGAACGCATTCGAGCAAGTGCTGAAGAAGAACGAGAGCATCAACTTCAGAGATGGAAAGCTGAAAGAAGGGAAATGATGCTTAAATATGAGACATTGAGCACTGAAATGGAGAACGTGGCTGCTGTAAATGCAAAGCTGCGTGTGACATTGGATGAGGAACGCAGAAAAACAGCACAAAATGACCACGATATGCGAATTTTGCTGATGCAGATCGATCATGAGCGACAATCAAAGAAAAAACATTTGCACCAAATCAAGTCTTTGTTTGAGCAATTGCAGCGTGAATCATCCTAAATCCGTCGCTGCCTATCTTTGATAATAAAATATACAAGAAATGGTCAATCAAAACGAGTCCTCGTCACTTCCATCTTCGGAAAAGTATTCGAGATCCTCCGAATCAATTTCCTCATCACTTTCGTCCGGATCGCTTCGCAACACTTTCGTCGTCTTTGCATCTTCAGCTTCATCGTCCATCTCCTTGGCGATCGTATGACCAGCGATTTCATGGCTCTCATCGTCTTTGGACCCTTCGAAGATCGTCGATTCACCTGGTTTTCTACTTTTATCATCACCGTCATCCTCCCCCATTCGTTTTGAATCGATCGCTGGCGCCCGAGCTGGCAGCGCCTCGATTTCGTTCGCCTTTAGTTCATCTTCGATCCGTTTAATCTCCTTGTCGAGATCGTTCTTTTCGTCGTTCAGTTTTCTTTCAACTTGTCGCTCTTTGTTCGCGTTACCTTCAAGTGGCAAATCGGGCAGATTCTGAACTAATCGATCCAGTAGTCGCTTCAATTGGTCCCCACTCACGACATCTGGAGCTAAGAAACGACCATTATCGTGCTGTAATTGGCGTGCAATGTGTTGGGTCTCTGATGTTCGTGTGAGCGTTGGCAGTTCGACAACATGGAGTTTTCTGGATGGCCCCGAACTTGATGCTTTGTCGTTCTCTCGATAGACATACAAAGAAGTATCATTTGTTCCCGTCGCATCCACGACATCTTGCAAATCATCTTCGTACTCGAGCGCTAGTGTCGGGATTGGCGCATACTTAAGTCCAAAGCGAGTTGGCACGATCATCCTCGAGTGACGATCAAGTCACGAAAGGTTACGCCTATTTTTTGCAGGCATTTAATAAACCGTCACCAACTTTATAAAACTGGTGATCTCTTTATATTGCGTACTTTTAGCTCGGTAGACTTCTCTTAAGTTTAGTTATCTTATGCTCATGGCAGCGGTCGGGCCAATGTACGTTGATCATCGAGGTAACCTTAAGAATTATTGCAACGATTTAAGCGCCATCGATGCAGACTCAGACTCTGAGTCCAGCTTATCTTTGTCCTCAGTGGAAGCGTCATCTTCAAACGATGATAAGAGAGACTCAGACTGTAAGTCTGATTCCGAGTTCAGTCACTATTCAGATCAAGACATACGTGGACATTTTAACTGCGACCAGAAGAGCACAGTCACACGGACTGCAACATTGTTCGACACGATAGGAAACATGATACGTTTTGACAATGTTGGCTACATTGCATGGCTCGTACCTTTTACTGGCTTGTGCACGATGCTTGGCACCGAGTTATTAGCGTGTACCCACCACTTTACCTGTTCGGATAATTATCCAACACTGTCGTACGCCGCGACATTTCGACCAGAAGGGTACGCTTTCACTGGCGGCATGTGCCTTACAGCTATCTTCATCTTGGCATCGATTGCACTCTTTTTTTGGTACGTACAGTTGCGCATACGTACAGATAGTCGAGAATGTCCAAGATTCGATGTAATGGCCGTTAACACTTGTCTTGGACTTGGGTTCTCGACATCTTTGTCGCTCATTGGACTTGCAGTATTGGATATGCGTGCTTATCATGATGCACATATAGTTTCGACCATCGTCTTTTTTCTTTCGGCTTGGATGATGATCGTCATGGTTCAAATTGTTAGAAAACGTATTTTACATCCTGAAGAAAGTGAAAAGACATCATCGGCAGTCAATCTCCTTTCTCTCTTACGTCAACGTTCTTTCTGGCTTGCATTGCGTCGCTGGAGAACACTAGACGAATTAACCGCGTATACTTTGGGTCGCCTATTTGTGAATTCAGGACTGACGTCTTCAATGTTATGTGCGTAGCCTAAAATCTATCGATTTTTATTTGAACACTGATCAGAAGTGTTTGGTATGTATAGTTGCCATCTTCTTTCTGTGTGCGAATAACGTGTGGCCGAATCCGGTGGGTTTTACTGCGGTACAAGAAGCTTTTTTTGAAGCGCTTGCAATTGTGTGTCAGCTCCTTTTTATGGGGACTCTCTCGAGTGAATTAGCTCGGCTGGCGCGACTTGTTGAGCATTGCGACTACGCAGAATTAAACAGATATGACTAAGAGTCATGTGGTCAAATCTATTAAAATTGCCTATGTCTGTTGATTGAGGTAATCAATGAAGAAATCTCCTATTGCGTCAATTGCACAAGGGCGTGAGCGAGTGATCTTGATAAATTGGCGGCGATAGCGACAAGCCTCTGCCATCGATAATGAACGAGTGAGTCGAAGCTCTTGTTTGACGCTATGCAGTGGGAGTCGCACGCCGTCAGCCACTCCAGCGTCTTGTTGGCGAGCCAATACTATCTCAACAATAGCATTCGTAGTTTCATCTAAAGCCTGAAGGAAGTTTGTCTCGACTACAGGTGCAGCTTTGGTGGCAAGCCCTGCTTTGACAGTTTTACCAAAGCGTATTGCCTCAGTAATTGTGTCTAGAGGTATCCCATTGCCATCCGCAGTAAAGTCGTTAGGAGTCAGTCGAAAGAGCGGACTGTCCCATCGATTTTTTTCGACTGGAACTTCAAATCGAGCCGCTAACTCCTGCAACAGCTTTGAGTCAAAGCTTATCTCTGCAGCCGCATTACGCTTTAAAGCTAATTGTACTGGCGTGTCCACATACACCTGCAATAAGAGAATTTTGTTCAAACATACTTTCGTTTAATTGGGAAATATCACTTAGTATACCACGCAATATGTCGTGCTTTCCTCTTTCGCCTTGCAAAAGAGCTCGTATCGTTCTCCCTTTGTATAATTTAGCGCATCAAGCACGACGATAGTCTTGGTGTTCACTACCTTTTCCACTGCGGCTTTTAATGCACTCCGCGTGCTTTTTTCTGACTTACTATCTATGTAATGACCAATAGAAGTCAATTGAATTCGTGGATAGAGAGATTTCTACACCCTTACCAACGTAACCCCATGTCTTGCCAACATTGATGTCCGCTAGCGAGATGTATACAACGTCTTGCTCTGGAACTTGACGCCGTAGATGGTTAACTAATGCTGTGGCCACTGTCGTCTTACCAGCTGAAGGAATTCCGCACACAACAACAAACGGCATGCTACAATCAAAACGCACTTAATTGATGTACCCATGTGTTACCCCAAATCTTGCCAAATGTAATACATTGTTTAACGCTGTTTATTAGAAAACTTTGATTTTTGGCGACATCGCTCAATACTGACGACCATGACGATAGAAACAAGCCACGAAGACACTTTATTACATGTGTCAAAGAAAAACTTGATGCGTTTGCGATCATGGATTCTGTGTGACACTTCATAAATACACAGCTGAAGGTTATCTATAAAAGCTTTAACTATAGACTAGTGATTACTCGTTTTGTAAATCCTTAACAGTAATACCAGTAGCGTTTGTTGAACGCTTTTTAATAGTTTAGGTACCTTCCGTGCGCCTCCTCGTAACGACAGGTCGTCAAGTCTTGAAGATCACCACGGAAGCGTACGTGGTGATGAATGGACATTTCCTTGACAAACCCTTTTTGGGTCAAAATAGATCAAGTTACACTCTGTAGTCTGAACGCCAATGCCTTGAATAACACTTTCACATCGATGTGATCGGCGTGTAGTTAGTTACCAGAATCAATACGTTTTCATTCTTGTTACAAATTCGATGGCAGACTTGCGCTGCCATGCGTGCAGCTCTCCTTGACGAAGACGACTGCTGAGAACGATGAGTAAGCATACACCAGGATGTGCTTGATAGCGTCCAGCGGAGTCCATACATTCCGAGACGTTGCTGTTGTCTTCATGTGGTGATTTGATTTAGCGAGATTAGTCGGAGTCAGCTCTGCATTGATGAACTCGAGATCGATCTTCGACAATTGTGTTCCGAAGTTTGCGTGGCATTGTGCCATCGAGAGAAGGATCCTTTCCTGTCGGACTGCAAGGATCTACCCCTAGCGCTCTAGGAAGTGAACCGAAATTTTAATTGGGTTTGTTAAGACGGTGTTGTCATCTTGTCCTTGATCTAAACACGACTTAAAAATGTGTCCAGCGGACGAAAGACGAACTTGATCAACTTTCGCCGTTGCCATCCTGAAAGTAAAATACAGTATCTCGATCTAATTGGCTTGGATTTGTGTAAATCATCGCAGCTGGTTGCTGTTTAATATCGAGCAGCAGCGCGATCATGACTGATACGAGAATCTCAAACAGTCGTTGTGTCTTACTACGAAATAACAAATTTTACGAAGCTTCCGCTTGGTCTTCTCGGATTGACAGATTTTCGCAGATAATCCCAAACCAGCTCGATCATATTCTTCATAGCCAAAACGACCCTCAGGAAATTCGAGTGAGCAAAGTGGAAAACTTTTCTATGAACTAATAGAGTGTGCGAGATGATCGATGGTATGCGTCGGCAAAAAGTTACAGAACGTTTAAGACAGCTACTTGTAGACTAGTCGCTTCATTCAAGAAAGTGGTACGACTTATACTCGTGCATAATCAAAGTGGACTCGTGAAGCATCAGCAACTTCAAGCTTCGACAGCCACATGAGACTGAGATTGATGAGTCAAGTCTTGGGTTCCAGGGAGTGTTGAGGTGCTCGGACATGAAGCACGTGAAAAGCTCTCTATTCTGATTGGCTAGAATACTTTACAGTTACATGGTGTCAGTGTTTTGATGGAATCACTGCCATTAGCGTTACAGCGCGAGATCTGCTCCTTCGCGGCGGCACCAGAGCTCATTCCTCACGATATCGACACGATTGATAATGGTGACTATGATTCCAGCTTTGCGACAAAATTGACAGAACCGTCAACGCACAATCTGCAGCGTCTGGCGTTTGTGTGCCGTGCATGGCGCGAGTTCATCGAGGAAATGTGTACGGAACACGAAGCTACGCGCGTCTTAACTCTTCACTTCTATGCTAACAAAGATTCTTTTTCGAAAGAACATATCATGGAGCAATTATCTGCTAGTAACAATGGTGCAACTTTATTAGACCTGAGGATTGTGGTTACTACGAAAAAAAATGGTCTCTGGTGGGACCTGGACACCCTGGCGCCAACATTTACTGGAGAAAGGGAGACAGATTCTGGCGGTTTGTACTGGGAAGAATGGAGCTTTTTATTGCGGCAATGCCCGAATCTTCGGCGACTAGACTTAAGCGGGATGCCTCTATACGGCTTGGCGATGGGAGACCTTTTAGATGCAGCTTCGATTTATTGCAGCCACTTGGAAGCGCTAATTTTGCCTAAGCAAAGACCTTTGCATCCCGCTGTAGCCTTGGATAATTTGGATTTCGTGTTTCATAGACTCTACCTTGCGTTGGAAAGGTGGAATATGGCATCCGGCGGAAAGGGGCTTAGGCAGTTAACGGTACCGTCAAGAAGTGAAGAGAATCGAGAAGGAACATCAAATGAATTTCTCACGGCGATTTTTACAATGTGCCCCAGATTGGAGTATCTTGATGGATGGAAACGATCGTACAAAGAAGAAACGAGATTGGTTGTGTCTGATATAAGCTTGTGTGTCTCCCGAGCTGTTTGGAAGATGTTTTGTACATCATGTGCGGCGCTGCGTGAATTTAGCTGGGTCATTGTGCCGTTCTCGGACGAGTTTTTTCTACCATTCGGTCAGACTGGGAAGCCACATCTCACTCGTTTACAGTTGACGTACAACACACGGGCTCCGTTCCGAATTCGACGAAATGAATACTCAACAGGTGCATTGATTGTTGTCGTAGCAGGTTGTCCGGCTCTCGAACATTTGGATGTCGTGCTTCATCGATTGCAACCGTGTGACACACTCATTTATCCACAAATCGATGAGATGATTGACCCCGACGTGTTTAACGACGATTTCATCTTGGCATTGATTGAAAATTGTTCTAAGCTTCGCTCGTTGCGTATCCGAGAGCTGGGATCCTTGTCAAAGAGTCGAAAAGGAATGATTGCGGCAGCTAGGACCATTACAGATCGAGGTCTTGCAGCTCTTTGGCGTGCTCCGTGTCTCACTTGTATCGATATCCAAGAAGTCAGGTGTTCCGCAAGAACCATTTTAGATGTTTTAAGCACTAATATAGACACCTTTCAACCGTTTACAACTCGACAAGTTATTCTTCGAGAACTTGGCGTCTGTTTTGGCGAGGTAGTACAGCACGTGCTTGAAAGTCTTGTGAAAGAGCGACATCAAGAGGGGACTGGTACACTAAGCAGGACACCGCTGGTCATTTCTCTGAGCTGTCGACGCGGTTATGTGTTTGAACGCTCCTGGCTCGTCAAGATGCAACAGGCTTTTCAAACTAAGTATCCGAAAGGAGATTTGCGCTTTGCTCTTTTCAGTTTAAAGAAGGACAACGACACTGCTCTTCACTCCGGCATGAATGGTAGCGTCGAGCAGGCAGTCATTGCAAAAATCTTAGCTCGAGCATGGGTTAAAGGCGATGTATTGCGCATCGGACGTCTTGTACTTTATACGGATCTGTCAGCTCTTGATAATCACTTACGACAAGTACTTCAAAGAAGAGCAAACCGCAACACTTCATGGATCGTGAATGAGTAGATATAACTCAGAACTTGTCACGATTTGTTAGTAACTTAATTTAATAAAAATCGTGCATCTTAAGCCTTTCTAGTCGTTTGTGACGCCGTTTAGCTCGCGCGCTCACTTTCTTGTGCACCTCGACGATCTCCTTTTCTTTGTGTGTTCCCATTTTCGACGCAATTTTCACCATACCTCCGTGTTTCTTGCGAATGGCAAGTATAAGCGACGAATAGCCTAATTCTTTCAAAAGCTTTGTGTCCGGCATTTTGCCTTCCAGTCGATGTTCCCTTGAAACATTGCGAAGTTCCTACATGCATGCCAGTCACTTTCATCTTGTCATCAAATGTAAACCTTTCCCATCTTACCTTAAGGACAGTGCCAAGATTGCCCCAATTTTCTGATGTTCTGTTATTAGACATACGACGCGCAAGTAACGAGAAAAGCATGGGTTCTACACTAACTTTGGGAACTGCAGTTAGCGCCAGAAGACGCCCAAAGTGGCGTGACAGCATTAATGACTACAATTTGTCAGGATGTGTGAACCACATATAATTCGCATCGAGAGATAAAAGTTTAGAACTCTACTTGGGATACTATTTGGTGTTGTAATTTATTTATCCTTGATATTTGGCTGGCGAAGTAGTCGTTGCACTTGAAAGTAGCAAAAAGGCCATCACTTGACTTTACTATTTACATGGTGTGCTGTTGATGTCGAGGTGGGCACTCGCACCCACCTCCTCGTTATGGTGGTGGTAATTTCAAGCTCTCCCATATATAATATCATGTCTCGCAAAATTACATACGTACCTCCCATATATAATGTCTGGTCTCGAACAATTACAATCTTACATCTCGAAAAAAAACTATAATTTTGCTTGATGAGTTGATAAAACGCAAGCAGACACGAAAGTCGCGCCATTGAACCACTTTAACGAAGCATGCGCAGTGTCCATTGAACTAAATTCATGTTTGATCGCTCAGCCTATCCAGTATAACTTTTTCCCGACTTCTCGAAAAAAAATCGCTTAGCACTAGACGAGTTTCGCTAAGCATATATAACCAATCAAAAGATCTGATTAGTCAGCCATTATATACGATGAAGCTTTTTTCGCGGCGATCCGAGGAAGCGGCGGTATCCCCTAGCACTTCCACAACGTCCGTGGCATCCGAATATGCCATGGACTTCCTCTCTGAGTCTCAGAAACGTGGTGTTGCGGGTCTCTGCGCATGTCTTCTTCCTGCCGTAACTGATGGTTCCACATCACTTTCGTGGTCGAAAGCGTATTTAAAACTGCTAATTGAGCATTTTGTAGAGCTCGATAGTACTCATACGGAGGCATATTTGCCCATTTTAACTTCCAGAAAACAAGAATTGGCTCAAAAATCCCACGAACCTTCGGTCGCAACCGTAGCAGAACTTGATCCATCACCTTTTCTAGCCCTTGTGGTACCCGAACAAGATGCAGACGCTTCAAATGCTTTCAAGCGTTGGAAAAAGAAGCTAAGACACAAAGCAGAACGGGAAGGCTTTGAGGTCTCTGAATTAGTAACGATTGAGAAATTCCGGCTGGAAATAATTAAAAAACTTTTATGGTTTACAGTGAAAAGTGTCGGATATGATGCCAGAAGCAGAACTTTATTGAGACGTTTGGTATTAGCAATGGAGCTGGTTTGGAGTGACGTAACTAAAGAAGAGATTGAGATTGGGCAAACTTTGTATGCTGAGGCCATAGCAATGCCGTTGGAAAAGGTGGTGGCCAAACCGAAAATTACTGACTGGAAACGAAATGCTGCAATTGGAGCCGCCGCAATGACAGGAGGTGCATTGCTGGCGGTGACAGGAGGGCTTGCAGCTCCTGCGATTGCAGCAAGTTTGACAGCTTTAGGAGGTGCAGGAATTACTATTGGTACGGCTGTAGGATCAGCAGCGGGAGTCACGGCCACGACAGTTCTGTTTGGTACAGCGGGAGCGGGAGTAATGGGCATGAAAGCTGATACGAGGACGAGAGGTGTTCATGATTTTAGCTTTGATTTGGTGTCTGCAGGAGATGGTATGAATGTTTACATTTGCGTGTCTGGATGGCTAGATGATGAGGATCCACCTGTCAAAGGATTTCGTCGCGCGTGGGGGGATAGTCGAGAATACTTGCGTGCGTTCTATCGACAGAAAAATCCGGAAAAGGTTGATCAAGTGGATCAGGTCATGACCCGCTATAAAGGACGAGAGGACGAATTTTTTGCCATTTTGCGACGAAAGTACAATATTGAATCAGGAAGTCTGGAGGATGATCCGTTAGCGATTGCCGATATGTCCAAGATGGCATTGGCGGACCAAGACGCTCGCTACAGTGACTTTACAAGCTTAAATAGTGATTCAAACGCCATTTCCAGCAGTCAAATAGAAAGCAGTGGTACATCTTCGGTTTGGGAGCTAGGGACAAAGCATGAGCCACTCCGTGCATGGCGATGGAAAGACCGCTTTCCTCAAGGCGATCAATACTGTTTAATATGGGAGGAAGCTGGTCTCCGACGGTTCGGAAAATCCATGCGTACATTTGCAGCCGAACAAGTGTCTTCATACGCAACAACTGAACTTGTGAAGTACACGGCCCTTGCGGCGTTGTTCGCAGCAGTGGCCATTCCACGCGTAATTCTTCGACTAGCTGATATTATTGACAATGTCTGGACAGTCACAATGAATGCTGCAGATTCTGCTGGTAAATTATTAGCTGATGCGCTACGAAAACGTGAACAGGGTCTACGTCCGGTAACGTTGGTGGGGTACGGCATGGGCGCAAGGCTGATCTTTTCGTGTTTGAAAGAGCTGGCAAAGAGCGACTCGATTGACCTGTCTTGTGGTATTGTAGAAAACGCAATATTATTGGGGTCTCCTGTACCAATGGCACGGGATGACTGGGGCAACGCTCGTCGTGTGGTTTCAGGGAGACTTATTAACGGATACTCTGAAAAGGATTGGATGCTTGGTGTGATGTACCGCTACCAAGGGTGGGCATTAAACTCGGCAGGAATTGCACCAATTGACATTGCTGGAATTGAGAACGTGGACTTGTCAGAAATTATTGGTGGTCATTTGGAGTATAAAAGCAAAATTGGTGCAATTATGGATCTTTTGCAGTTAGAGGGATAGCAGATCAAAAAATTGTGAGGTCTAAAAAGCACTTGTGCATCTGGCGCAAACTTTTGTTTCCGATAAGGCTCTACTTTGTATACCAAGCGCCCCCTCTGCCTAGCGGACGTAAGTGCATGGCTGGCCATATCCTGTGTCATGTTTATATCTCCATATTTAATATTTGCGATAATTGTTATGTTACACTAATGCCAAAAGCAATAATGTGGCTTCATAAATCTTACCGTCGAATGCTTCTACGAGTTGACTAAGTTAACGTCTGCTTTGTTAACTTTGTGATTGAATATACTCAATGCTGTGCTCAATTAGAACATGTGATAAGTCACTGCACTTCTAGACTTTCAATGACTACTTTGTTAACTTCAAGCGCGACATGGATTCATGTTTTTGCGTGATGAAGTAGAACAGGGTGAATCGTAATCTCTGTCACATTACACCGCTAATCTCCTATATAAAAAATATTTTTTTAATCTTGAAAGTTTCCAATCTGAAGCATAGTTTGGTTGTGGTGAAATCATTATGCGATAACATTATGTAAATCAAATAATTTTAAATACTTAGCATTGTATCAATTGTTCTGGGATGGCAATATGATGGTATCGGCGACTCACTACTGTAAGTAAAACATCAGTCAGTTCGTAATTGATAAAGACGTCCTATCATGAAGTAGTAGCGTGACACATTATAACGCAAGGGTACCTTGCGTTTAAAATCCTTAAAGGAGTGTGATACCTGTTAGATATCTATCAGACTTTTTGTAATAGCTCTAAATGTGATCATATAGTATTCTTGTGTAATTTTTTCTGAACATAGCAAAGGCACATCATTGGTAACTTATTACTTATCTTCGACCAGCCATTAGATTATAATACAACGCATAAAAAGTCGAATATAGCTCAAAAGCGTTGCGTTCATACCTTTATAATAGCTGTACACATGGGAGATCGGGACAAGAACGATTGTTTCAGTGGTATTTGTGAATAGCAAACATGTAGTACTATTTGTGAATCTGAAGTAGCGAAATAGTAATACATTTCATTAAATCTCATCTTGAATGCTCGTTTATAATTATAGCAGAATACTTGTATTATTTATTAGTATCATAAAAAGTTCTAGATCACCAAAATTGTACAGAAGGAGTTTGAATGCACTATCATAACTACATAATTATCAGAGCTTAGACCATACACCTCACCCAAAATGCAACAGTAGTACAGGTACTAATAGTGTAGAGCCTGGCTGTGCAGATCGACGGCGCCGCACGGATAGTGCCCTTCACCGTCACGGCAATTTGAATCAACATAATATAATCCAGAGTCGTACTTTGTTAATATGAGTCTCTTTGGCTTGCAATTACCATATTTTGGCCAGTGAGATTCCCTAGATTCTATGTAGCCATGTATTTGAACCAATCAAAAGTACTTATTTGCGCTACTTCGGCTCACTCCGTTTAGATATCGTAACAAATACTAGCCTTCAATGGCATACGCATAAAATTTGAACATATTTCAGAGCACAATATATTCGGAAAGTTCTATGTTGAAGTGAACTCTTCGCAAATGCGGACGGATACTTTATGATGCCGTCGTCATTATTTTAGCTGTAGACTATCGATAAGTTGTATAATCTCGAGCGCAATGTTTTTGGGTAATATATTATGTGCATGACAAGCATAATTAAATCATGAACACCAGAGACCAGGTATAAGGGAGGCATAACAGAGTCTCCTCGTACCCTTTTCAAATTACAAAAAACAGACAGAATATTGTGCTGTTTTTCAATGCGTCGAATGATCAACTCTGGAGTATAATGTGGTGACACAGGTCGCAGATGCATATATCAAGCGGAAAACACCCCTGAAATTCAGCTATACTGTTAATTAGCTTCATAAACACGACTTCGTCCTGAAATCAAGACAAAGCCTATCTAACGAATGCAAATACTATAATTCATTCACATGCTTTGTGTGAGTTATATCCACGATTTGCCCCCCCCGATGTCGTTGTGATATTTCAAACTTTAAAAAAGGTTAGAAAGCTCCGTCTCAAATTGAGCTCGTCATCTTTGCTGAGGAGATGGCAAATACCGAAGTGAATGAATTACTTAAGGCTCATATTTTGCTACTCAGTGCCACCTTTAAGCCTACTTGAGTATTCTGTCTTATCTAGAACAACGAACGACTACAATTGTGTCCGTAATCAATATCCATAACCGTCACAGTGGTTGAAACCGTTACAGTAATCCTTGTGACGTCATTCACACAAAATCATCAGTATAATTTCAACACTCCCACTCACAGCAAATTTTGAGTGTGCTTTGTCGCTGGCGTGGTCTTGATACCAGTTACCTCGAAAATAAATCTGAGCATCTTGTTTCCGAGTGTCTTCGGCAGCATATTTTCATTTTGATTCTTAATATGGATGTCGTCAATCTTCAGGTAATCCATGCTAAACGTTCATTTGAATAAGTGGTGCCTGATGTCTGAGTGATTTGTACGAGCGTGGTAGCTTGCGTTGCTGACCAAAGCTATAGCCCTTTGGTTGTCTACTTCTAATTGCAAGCCTCCCACTTGTTCGTGGCCCATGTCCCTGAAATTGCGCGTGTGCAAAGGACGTGTGAGCATAAGCCATGGGTCGTATACCCGGCTTCTGCGAAGCTCAGTGCGACGGCTCTCTGATACCACGATATCAGTGTAGCGTGTTTCTTTGATCCGTATGGCTGCCGTTTATCTGCCGTGGTTAATTTTCGTGCTTAAGATAGATGTTGCCATGCCGAGATCCATCCTCATAGAGGTCAAGGAAATGCTAGCGCCCTAGACATCTAATCTTGCCTCTCGTCTTGGCTGAAATTATCATGTCATCGGGATACAGGTATACGTAAACCGTAGACGCGTTGATCCACCCCACAACTTTTGAAATTGATCTTCTTTAAGCCATGATCAGTGTATTGTTCCACGCACCTGAAGCTTGCTTGAGTCCATATACGACCTCTTTTAGCTGGTACGCAAAGCTCTGAGTTCCCTTGACACTAAGTGATAGCACCATGTAATCACACGATGCGACAGCACACGGTATCGACGTCAAGCTGCTCCGTTTTGCTACCAGAACAACACAAATAAAGCTCGTATTGGCCCCTTGGGCAAAGTTTTAAAGAAATCCAAGCCCTAACCTGCTTTTAACCGTGCCTTGTAGCGCATCACAATACCCGTTTCTAGCAAAGACCCAACAGCATCCAATAGTATACCGAATTGACCCCTTGGAGAAAGTGTTCATGTCTTGCTTTGGTGGTTTGATCGTAGTTCAGCGTCTTTTGCCTCACGCCACTGTTTCAGCTTGTCATTAGCCATTGCCTGCGCGTATGTGGCAGAGAAGTCTGATTCTTCCCCGATACCCACAGCATAAATGAAAACGGCTGTAAGGCTGTCCTCGTCATTTTTTGCTTGCTTCTGGGATGGTAGACCACCGATTTCTTTCAAATTTTCTTCTTCATCTGATCCGTTTTCTGGAATCAATATCGGCTCGTGCGCACGCCTTGGGTAA